TGGTTGACGGCCGGTTCTCCATTTCCGCCACCTCCATTCGCTGATGTCGAAGTTGATGAAGAAGGCGTAGGGGAGGGAGCGGGCGACGAGGTGGCCGAGCCATTGTTGGTGTTGTTGTTGTTGTTGTTGTGGCCGTAGCTGAACCGAGCTCCTCCATTTCCAGCTGAGCCATCTAATTCCAACGTTGCCGGTGAGCTGTTGTTGTCTGCGGATTGGGAAGTGGAAGCAGCAGCAGCGATTCCATTGAGGTCCTCGCCGTTGCTGCTGCTTTCAGTGGTGTTGTTGTTGTTATCGGGCGGTAATGTCGTAGTCGTGTTCGAAAAGTGGTCGCCCCCAACTGACGGCGATTGTTTGCTCGTGCCTGTTGTTGTTGCTATTTGCATCGCCGGGGATTGCTGCGACGACGGCTGCTGTTGTTGCTCCAGCTTTTCGTCCACTTCCTCTTCTGTTTGCTTTAGCCCTGTTTGTGTATTGTGATGTTGGTGTTGGTGATGGCTGTTGTGGTGTTGCTGTTGAAGATGGTGGTGGTGGTGGTGGCTGCTGCTATAATCGCCGGTGATTGTCGCCATGGTCGCGTCTGAATCAGCAGTAGCCAGGGAAGAACTGCCAACTGCTGCTACTGATGATGATGATGCCGCCGCCGCGAGGCCGTTTATCATCAAATCACTGCCACAGCCGCTGATGCTGCTGATCGTCTGTAGCTGCTCCTTGTCTTTGGTTATTGCCTCTTCTCCTTCGTCTTCGTCTTTGTTGTTGTCAGTTTGATCAGTAATCATCGGCTGGTCACAGCCCTCTGCTGCGTCAAAGTCCTCCTCTTGTTTTTTCAGTTCATCATTGCCGAGGGCAAAGCTCGCCGGTGATATTCGCGGCCCCGCCGAGCCACTGTCAACTGCTGCTGCTTTTGGTGATCTTTGCAGTTGCTCTGTTGCTTCAGTCAATGTCGCTGATGATAACTAGAAAAGGAAGAGAGATTAGTTCAACTGAAGGTGGTAAACAAACACTAAACAAACAGATAGCAACAAGTGCACTGTTTGTTGTTGTCCCAACGCGTACATCACCAAAGCCGACGGGACCAGTGTCAATCGAGATGCTGTTGTCGTCCTGAAGCAATTCATCCGAGAATTTTCGAAGCTCCTCACAGGGCTCGACGTTGATCAGAGTTTGCTCACTTGTTGAGCCGTCAAAGTCTTTGAGTTGTTGTTGCTCCCCTTCGCTGTCTGCTGCTGCTGCTGCCGCCGACGTCTCGTGCTCGCCACAGTGGTCACCTCCAGCACTAGCAGCAGCAGCAGCGGTAGCAGCAGAGGTGACCACCACTACCTGTCCGCTGTCCATTCTCTGGCCGCTGCCGCTGCTGCTGCTGCCAACGCCGCCGATGTCCGTCCCTCCACCACCACCGCTACCACCACAGGTGACTTGTGTACTTGTGACTGCTGCGGTGGCACTTGGAACTTGAGAAGGAGGAGGAGGAGGAGAGTGTCCACAACTTGGCTAGGATCACTTGAGGTTTGAAGAACGGCGACGGCCACCGTAAGCGTTAGAATTTCACNCTGCTGCTGCTGCCAACGCCGCCGATGTCCGTCCCTCCACCACCACCGCTACCACCACAGGTGACTTGTGTACTTGTGACTGCTGCGGTGGCACTTGGAACTTGAGAAGGAGGAGGAGGAGGAGAGTGTCCACAACTTGGCTAGGATCACTTGAGG